GAAGATGATTGTTCACTGAGTTCAGAATCAACTCAGGTTTGGTGTGCCTAGACACTTTGGGTCCATTAAAGGGCTGCGAAGCAACGGCAGCAGCAGAACAATTCCAGGTGTGCAGCAAACTTCCTTATTTATCACCACAAGATAGAGTTTTTGAATGATATCCGAAGTGTTAATACCGCACATTCACAATTCCTTTCATCACTCCACCCACGGTATCAAAAAGCCTGAATCAGCTGTAAACGAGACTTGTCAATATGCCCATGTGATTTTGAATAGGAATCAATAATCTCGGAGATTTTTAGTGGTTTTGTTATTTTGGAAGTACGGATTGTGGCACTGTCTCCTTCTACCTGCTCTTCACCAAGTGTTGTGACGTAAGAATCGATTTGTTTGATCACGTGGTGTCTATTTAAGACAGACAACTAAAGCTTCAGCTGGTTTGAAGTCTTTTCCTTCTTTCCACACCGTACCAGGAGTAAAACAACCTATCTGGGCCATCCATCTAAGAACATACTTTCTCTCATTCTCATGTATGATCTCCTGGTGGTTCATTGATTCCAGTATTTATATTCGAGTTCGGCACTGCAGTTGATACAAACTAACTACCAACCTGCGTGTATCAAGAACCTAGCACGTCGTTAGTGAGTATCGAGTAAGATGAAGAAGATTTTATCAATGTGCGGTTGGATGCACCGAGTACTGGTGGTGTTCTCTCGAATGGCGATAAGACGTTTTTAAGTCAATTGTAAAGCTTGGCGAATACATCAGGAATCACGTGACCAAATGCCAGTTGGAAAGAGTTTCTTCGCCCCGCATTTTCTGGCGGACAACAAATGACACAGACCTCATACGGAGAATCAGCTCTTCAAACTCAGACGGATGTGGAAGAGTATATGTCGTTGAGCTGGTTGCCTCGCTCATCGCGTTCTGCGCAGTTGATACGATCGGGTTTAAGCCAAGACACTTGTTTGGGTTGCGGCAGAGAAAGATAGTATTTATCAGTAGTTTATTTGCTGACGGCCAGTATACAGGATCAAGAGACCCCTCTATCCTTCAGGTAGAAAGCCTGGAGCTGACACTGACATGTCGTATTGCCAATGTGAAAAATGTACGTCAGCAAGCTCATAAGTAGTATGTAGGGAATATATTTCAATATCTCAGACATCGTACCAGATGAAACATGAGGGGACCTTTGTGTGGCACATTCATTTAAGGACAATCATTCACGAGAGCCCCAGTAGAGATTCAGTAGAGTCTTAGTTGGGCAAAACCAAATTAGTGTGCCAATGAGTGCATCTCACGCACAAAGGCAAGTTGAATATTACCGTTTACCCATGTGAGCATTTTGAAGTACTAATCAGAATTCTAGAAATACACTCATTTGCAAATCAAATTGGTTTTCACGAGAGACTCGATTGAATCTCTCGTTTATGATATTCTACAAATAAATGTGCTGCACACAGGCCGCCTCATGTTTCAGTTGGCACGATATTCGAGATATCGCAGTGTATTTTCGTAAAGGGAACTACTCACAAGGTTGCTGAAAACTCTTCGACAGCCCACGACCTGTTTAGCCCTTCTTTGGGTTCATCAGGTAGGCGCAGTCCCCGAGCTTCCGTCAACTTTATGTCCTACTTGAACCCAAATTGCACTGTTTTCGAAAAATACACTTATTTGCAAATCAGTTTTGTGGGAGACTCAACTGATTCTCTCATTTATGATATTCTACTACTGAAAACCAACCATCTACTGGCACAAAAAATAGAAAATCTAGTGAAGTTTTCCAATCCCTTTAGAGGTAGACTGAATTTCCCCCTAAGTGTCGTGTCTTGGTGGACGATCGTGCAACTCTGTATCGGTCCCTTGGCTTCCTGCTCCGCCCACTGTGGTATATCAAAGGGCACGGTAGCTCTACACAGCCCTTTATGGAGACAAAGGAAAATTATCACAACCGTATTTATAGGGTAGTCACAGAATGTTCCACAAGGTCGTGCCAGAATCTCCGTGAGGGGGCGAGAAGCGTCCAGTCAAGGATGCTGGCAAACTGACTAATCAGGGCATACCTTCGTTTGGCCCGTGTCCTGCACGTGACACATCCGTCCAAATGATGTGCTGTTCGATTATTAGAGATGGCTGGCCCCCGAACACTAAGTGACAAGTGACTTGCACGTTTTAGAGTGGAATCATTCGTCTCGTGAAGCAACAGCATGGAATGTGAATATACACTAGTGCATTCCAGGAATCTGGTTCCAAATCAAGCCTCCAGCTCGTAAACCACAGTTTCCAAAGTTATCAATCTGACACTGTTCACATCATTCAGAAACGCCGCACAGGTAAATTTTCTGACCCACAAATTCATTCGCAGACTCGGCAGAGGTTTCTCTATGGAAAATTCACCCTACAAGCGAAGTCAATCTATTCCAAAAGGCCGGGGAGCATTGTATAGCTGTGACATCCTCTTTAGGCGCCATCAGCAGTGCGCATCTTATGAACTTCTTTAAAGGTTCGAACTCGCGACCTTCCAGTTGGTAGTTGAAGCCTAAACCCTTCAGTCAGTAGCAGGCAGTCAACAGTGTGATTGGCTTGAATCATCGCCTGTCCCTTAATCACAAAGTTCACATCATATGGTCACGCAATGAGTTGGGATTACTAGTCACAGTCCGGGAATACATTTAGTCTAACGGATCGTTTACGTTTCGTGGTGCCAGTCATCTACATGATGTGGTAAGTATCCCACACAGAAACATTGCCAAATGAAGTTCCAATGCGTGTGAATGAAACAATGATCTTGAGTGTAAATCTGCAAAGTCTATCATCAGACTGAAACCTTGTCGTGTACTGAAACAGCTCCACAGTAAAGCCGTCGGTTCATTCACAGTTCAATGGATGATCCCCTTCAAAGATATCATTGTCATGACTTCATTCGTGAATTCGACACACGGGTAGCCCATTATCGGTCTCATCACAGACTGACCGATTCCATCAATCTCATTTTGTACTTGGAGAAACCAAATATTTAAACAAAATAACAATAGTTTCTTCGCTCAGTGTCTACACTTCTCATTGGTTTCAACGGTGCACTTCAAAGTGCTGCTGTGTGCGATGATTCCAATACAAACTAAATTACCTGGGGGCGCGAAATACACCCATTTGCTAATCAGTTTGGTTTTCACAGGGGACTCAAATGAATTTCTTGTTTATGATATTCTTTAACTTAATGTGCTACACAAAGGCCTCATCATCTTCCAGTTTGTGCTGAGATATCTGAGATATTGCGCCATGTTTTCTTGACAGTATCCACAAGTTTGCTGACAAGCTTCCCCTGACTGCCACTCCGGTAATTTCATCCATTCTACGCATGCGCAGCTTGTTTATGTATTCTTTAACTTAATGTGCTACACAAAGGCCTCATCATCTTCCAGTTGGTGCTGAGATATCTGAGATATTGCGCCATGTTTTCTTGACAGTATCCACAAGTTTGCTGACAAGCTTCCCCTGACTGCCACTCCGGTAATTTCATCCATTCTACGCATGCGCAGATAAATCTATCGACACCGTCAGTCCGACTGGCGTGTGCGCAGCAGCTGGCCTAGTTCCATTACCTATGCACTTCAAATGCCATTTGCGCGCCACGAAGAATTCTGAGGTCATCACGTAGGTTACAGCAAACCGAAAGTGGGTCTGACAGGCGTGATTCCAGTATCCTATGTCCTGAAGAGCGCCAACTTAGAAGCATCAGGCAAGCAATCTAGCCCATGGCATTCGAATGCACTCAGATATTTTTCCTCAAAAAGTTAATACTTCCCTCTCTCCGGGGAAGTAACAGCACTCACACAACCCCACAAAGTTCAAGGAAAGTCTACCAGTGGCACCCGAGGTCAATTGAAGCAGCTTGAAGTGGAAGATTGACGAACTAAACCCGATCAGGACATAAGGTTGACGGAAACTCGGGGACTGCGCCTAATTGATGAGCCCGAACTGGAAGGGCGAAACCGGTCGTGGGCCTTAGAAGAGTTTTCAGCAA